CTGTAAATATACCAATAGTGCAACTGTTGGCAAATTGATAGATACTGATCTAATATGAGATAATTTCATCTTTTTTCAGAATATTCTACACAATGTCTTTTCTTTAAGAGCTCTGATCTTTTCTATTATTTTAAATAATGGTTTTCTCTTGAATATATTCATACAGTTTTTTGTGTTAACAGACAAGAAAAGACTATATATGTAAAATTTACAACTGGTCAAATTGATATATATACCAAGTCCTCTGTTATAAACATATTTAAAGCCAAAAAAATCCAAGATTATAATTTTCTGTACTTTTTAAATGTGTAACGAGCTGAGATATCTACATGTAGTACTGTGGTTCAGTATGTAGCATTCGGTCAAAAGTGTTTAACTATATTATATAAATATAAGTTAACTCATAGGCACATATTTGGTCTTTTGGCAAATATGTTTTTATTTTAATATGTTTTTTCTTTTTACTGCTGAAGGTAACAATTTATCTGTAATAACAACCTCATTGCTTATGAATCCTGGGTTGGAGATTAAGAAAGGAGAATAACAGCTTCCATCTTTGTAAACAGTTTAAACTATCAGTAAGTTGGGTGAAGACATTTTTTCAGTATAACCTGAATATAATATTTTTTAAAAAGTGTTACCTTGATTTTATGGAAACATACTTTCACTGGATCTGATTGTGGGCTGGAAAATGTTAAAATTAGAGTTTAGAATTGAATGTGTTGTGTATTTAAACATTTAAGTCTGGAGGAAGTTTTTAGAAACCACCTCCCAAGCCTAGAAGATAAATTTTCCAAAATTTCCAGTATTTTTAGCCATAGCATAGTGGCTCACAGAATGGCTCTTAGTTTTTCAAATACAAAATTTTAGCTCATAGCTCTGTCATCTCTTGACCAATTTCAGATCTAATTACAGTTTTGGACTCAGGAGATCAAACTCTTTCAATTCACATATTTGACCATGCTCAAGGTCTCGTATATTAATTTACTCTAATCCTGCCTAAAATGATTTCAGTTTGAGGGTAGGCAGGTAGAGATCCTGATGAGTAATAAAACTTAATCAGGTATACGTGCACCCCCCCACTTGGTATTGCTGGGGCACAAAAATATAGATAATAAAAAGAAAAAAAGGTTTCATTGATTAATTTACTCTAATTCTGACTAGAAGAATTTCAAGTGTCATGGCTATTGAGGATTCCCTCTTGTTTCTTACTGTTTTGGTGTCCACTTATTACACTCGTCAACTGTTCCAAACCTTCGTGTATTATACACATTTGATATATCGTTCCTTCTTTACTAAGTGTTGTAGATGGAAAATTTCTAGGAATTACTTCTTTCATTGGATGAAAAAATTCTTAAATTGTCAAGATAAGTTAAAGAAAACATTTCATCCTTATTACGGCATGTGTACTGTCCATTAAATAATACCGTAATCCTAGTTTTTACACGAGTATAAAGGTTTACTGCTAACAAACACGAAGAGACTGTTAGTTTACGACAGTGTACAATTTATTATTATGTTGTGCTAGTTAGTAAAATTGTTTTTTACAGATAATAACTAAAGTAAAGAGTGAAACATTGTATGAAAATTTACAAGTAACATGAAAACTGTGTAATACCTACACATTTGTTTTTAAATACTGACCTACTAAGTGATTGATAATTTGATTCACAACTGTTTCAGTTGTAAGTTGTGGGTTTCTAATTATAAATATAATGCATGTTTCTGTTGTCAGTTGTTGGTTTCTAATTATAAATATAATGCATATTTCAGTTGTAAGTTGTGGGTTTCTAATTATAAATATAATGCATGTTTCAGTTGTAAGTTGTTGGTTTCTAATTATAAATATAATGCATGTTTCAGTTGTAAGTTGTTGGTTTCTAATTATAAATATAATGCATGTTTCAGTTGTGGGTTTCTAATTATAAATATAATGCATGTTTCTGTATGAGTTAATTAGTATATGTTTACTTAGTAATGAAGTCATGTTTCAGTTTGATTTTGTATTTGAGTGAAAGAACAAATATGTTATAAATTCTACTACCTTTTTTCTAAAGTAAAACATATATAAGGCTTTTATTCTTTCAGTATAGTTTTCTATGATAAACTTTAGTTCTTAAGCTTAAACACTTAAATTTCTTTAGACAAGGGATCTTTCCTTATTGGAAGAGATAGAAATGATGTTTTCTGGTCATGATTAATGTATTAGATGATTGGGGAATGTAAACATTTTTCTGAGACAAAAGTTTAATAATATGTGAATATCCAAGTGCTGTATTTTAATATCAATGTCTGGCTAGTAAACAAGATGACTAACCTTTTATGAACAGGTCTGTCTTTTTTTAATTTGATATTTTGTTGACCTTGGGTAATTTGTTATGACTAGACATTTTTTTTTTTTTTATGTAAATGAGTAAAATCTGAAAATTCAATTCAATTTTAGTGTAGTTTGTTTATCTTAGTTTGTTCTGACTGACCAGACAGATTTGTTTACAGATGTGGTAGATTTTCTGAATTGTTTGTCTGTCTGAATGAGCAGCAGCCAGACGGTAACACCATGTCTGGTGTCTGGTCATGCATTGATTCACTGTCTGCTTATTTCTCTGTTGGTTTGTAGGCTAGCCCCTGTACTGGTGTTGTTCCATACACACACACATGTGAACTGGTCTGGAGCACTGACCATCAGGTGAAGCAAGCTAATATAAGAAAGGAAACCAAAACCTCACATCCCAGTATCAGTGATACTTGTTACTCTCACATTGCATGCTGTGTTTCATCTCAGACTTTCCTCTTAACAGGAGGATTGCTATAGGTAGGTGGGAGCCCTGAAACACCTGTCTGTTTTAAACAGTTATCAGTTAGAACATATACATTTCATGAACTGTTTGAAGATACTCAGCTTTTGTTACTTTGATAAAATTTTCTTGTAACTTCAAAACTTTTTCCTAATTGGAGTGATATTATGGCAGTATTTAAGCTTGAGTTTTAACTTCAAAACTTCTCCAGTTGAAATGATAAATAGGGTGGTGTTTCAGTTTGAATTTTAACTTCAAAACTTCTCCAGTGAAATGATAAATAGGGTAGTGTTTCAGCTTGAATTTTAACTTCAAACTTTTCCCTAATTGGAGTGATATTAGGGCAGTATTTCAGCTTCAATTTTAACTTCAAAACTTCTCCAGTTGAAATGATAAATAGGGTAATATTTCAGCTTGAATTTTAACTTCAAAACTTCTCCAGTTGAAATGATAAATATGGTAATATTTCAGTTTGGGTTTTAACTTCAAAACTTCTCCAGTTGAAATGATAAATAGGGTAATATTTCAGTTTGGGTTTTGACTTTTTGTCTCATTGAAGTGATAGATATTTCTGTTTAATGAAACCAGCTCTGTCACACAAGCAGAACTTGACAGTTTGATTTAGCTGAGCTGTCTAGCATGAAAGTAATAAAACAAATCTTCACACAACTAATATGATGCTATTCTCTTTTAAAAAACTTCATAATTAAGACATCCATCATCTTTAAAGTTAGCAACTTTATACATGTTACATATAGATTAAAACCTTCAATTTCTGTAAAAAATCTAGACAGTTAACATGTGCATTTTTTGTTTTGGGATAAAATACTGAAATGGATACCTTTTTAAAAAATGCTTTGTAGTTTTCAGTTTTGTAGGAGCTCTGGCAAATGTGGTTGATTCTTTCAAAGCTTGGTGAGTAGACTAATAAGGCATCTGTTTTCATACTTTGGGTATAACCTCTTGAGATCCAGAAGACTAGGGTTGAAAATAGTCACTCACACAACTTTTAGGTGTTATAATTATCTAAACACGATTGCATAAAAATACCTCCTTACACAGTGGAATTTCCTCTACAGTTACAAGTGGTTTTAGTGAACTACATAGGTGTCACTTCCTAGAAACGAATTGCACAAAGACAGATAATATCAAAATTACCCTCATTGTGAGGTTTTAAATGAAAATAGTTTTTGGTGTAGTGTTTCATAGAAATCAGGGAATTAATGTCGTATAAAAACATTTTTTAATGTTTGCTGGACAAAATCATATTTTCATTTTTTCAAGTCTAATTTTGCTTTAAGTATTTCACAGTTTTCATTACACATATACACTCATCTAGCTTGTAATGAATGTGATTTGAGACTCAAATTATAAACAAATAAATATTTGTTCTGTCTACATTCTAGGATTCAGTTTCAAAGAATTTCAACTTTAAAGTTAGCTACTAGTCAATAGTATCGGCTTGATCACAGATTGACGGTTTTTTGGTTGTGAGTAAGAATAAGAAATTTAAGTATAATTAATGTGAAAACGACCTTATACACTGTGTTTTGCTAAGTGATTCATAATTATTTAACAGAAAAGCCTGTTGTGTCTGTTATTGTTATTTGTTTGTAATAATGAGTAAATATTTAAGAAAATACATTCCACAAAAGTCCACTGCATGCATACCCTTCTTACAAACACTTTATAATATAACTTATATGTTTGTAGTGATTTTCACAAATACATTTGTCATTAAAAGGTTTAGAAATATAGACCAGAACATAGCTAAGATTCACAGCTACAGTCCTTAGAATTTTCCAGGAATCAACATGAAGAGTTTTACATCAGGTTTTCCTGAAACAGGGCTCCCACTTTGATGTGATTATGCACGTTAAAAACCAAGGAAATGAAGATAAATGTCTAATTAATGTATGCATTTAATAAATGTTACTATCATTACACTAAAGTGATCATTCAGAATCTCAAAACTGACAGAGAAGGTTAGAAACTTTGGCTTATGACTTCTAGAAAAGTCCGTGTAGAAATAAACATTATAGTTTCATCAAAAAAAGGAACAAAGCCAGTCATAAGTTAATTATAAACGACACGTATTTGTACACAAGTTTCTTCAATTTATATTCAGTAATTTTCACCTTCAAAAATGGGTGGGTAAAATTTTTACAAGACAACTTTGTATGAATTGAGGACAAGTAACAGTGTTCATGCTTGCTAATCTCGTGATCTAGGATATAAGTTTGTTTGAATGTAAAATGTATAACAACATAGCATTGTGTAAAATGGAATGATGAATTATGTTCTAATGGGCTCAAGCCAGAAGGAAAGAATTTTCTCGGAACACAGTTTAGGGTTGTCGATTGGAAAGAAGCCAACCTCTCCTTGTTCTTCGTGGAAAAAGCTGTCTGGTTTCTTTACATTCTAGGTTCTGATTGGTTAGCACCTTGAACTGTCTGCTATGTACGACCATTATTTCACGGTGGAATGCAGTTTGAGGACTGTTATGGTTATACCACGTACTGTTTGATTGGCTAACCAAAGGGCATACACGTGGTGCTCTTATCCTGCAGGGTGGCCATGAACTAAATTTCAGACGGTTTTAATAATTTTCATAGTTCTCGGTTTCTGCTGTTACTAGGAAACAGAAGCAAAGTTCGGTGTATGTTGAATAACAAAAATTAATTCGTATAAAATCAAAAAGTTATGTTCCAGACGGTTTTGACCAGTTCAGAAAACAGCCCGTGTAAGTAAAAGAGCTGCCAACTCTTTTGGATAACATTTGATTTTTTTTTATACAACTGTATATCAGTCACCGAGTGACTGGAATGAAGTTTCAAAAGTAAATTGTTTTATTGTTTTCTCTGCAAAACTTAGGTATATGTATGAGTTTAGAGGCTGATCTAAGGCCATGGAAATGGATGCGTAAGCCTAAAAGATGGTTACATTAATGTGCATAACATCTTTAGAAGGCTACAGTCAACTTCTAAATTCACAACATGTGAAAATTATGTGGTTTGAATTTTGACCCAATTCATATACTGATATTTTGCTTTTTTTTTTTTTTTACTTTA